TCCCCTCCCTCCTCCCTCCCCTCCCTCCCCTCCCCTCCCTCCCTCCTCCTCCCTCCCCTCCCCTCCCTCCCCTCCCTCCCTCCCTCCCTCCTCCCTCCCTCCCCTCCCCTCCCTCCCCTCCCCTCCCCTTCCCCTCCCCTCCCCTCCCTCCCCTCCCTTCCTCCCTCCCCTCCCCTCCTCCCTCCCCTCCCCCTCCCCTCCCCTCCCCTCCCCTCCCCTCCCCTCCCCTCCCCTCTCTCTGACTGCTTGTTCAGCCGGCGCCTGTTAGTCTTTCGGATCTTCTCGCACAGCTCGAGGCCTCTCGCTCCCTCGCGGCCTCCCAGGGGCCTGACAGCGAGAGGAGAGAGGAGCGAGGGGAAGGGAGCGAGGAAGGGAGGCGAGAGGGTGAGAGGGAGCGAGCGAGCAGGGAGGAAGAGGACAAGACTGAGGGCATGGAGGAGAGAGAAGGGAGAACGACGGGAGGGACAAGCGACGTCGATGGCAACATGGGCAAAGAGAGGAGGGAAGCGAGGAGGGAGAGCGAGAGGAGGGAGAGCGAGAGGAGGGAGAGCGAGAGGAGGGAGGAGGAGAGGAGCGGTCCTTCAGTGCAGCAGCGAAGAGAGAGGCCGAGGAGCGGTCCAACCAGCAGCAGGTGAGGGAGGAGGAGGAGGAAGAGGGAGGAATGGTAACGGTGGAGCAGGACGGCGACGAAGGGCATGGATAGACAGGGCACACGGTCGTTGAGAGGAGAAGGTGCGGCTGCTGCTGCTTCTGCTCGTTCCGTTGGCTGACTGAACTGGAGCTGCAGGGTCGAGGGAGGTGAAGGCATTCTCCGCAAGAAGGAGGAAGGAGATTCAAGATCGACGGGATGAGGAGGCGAAGGCTCAGCAAGAAAACCAGCTGCTGCTCATCGCGGGGGTAGAGCGAAGCCGAGCTCAAGATGAAGATGCTGGGCAGAGCGAGGAGGAGGAGGAGGAGGAGGAGGAGGAGGAGGAGGAGGAGGCGTGTACAGATGTAAATATTTCTGCTTATCCTCATCCTCTTGCTCAAAACCCGACAATAGCCGGAGGGATGAAGACCCAGGGGAAGGGCCGGCGGCCTTCCCTCCCCTTCCTCGCGCTCCTCAGACCTTCTGCAGGGCGCTGAGCTGAGTAGGAGGAAGCGACTCGAGGGGCTTGAAGGAGGGAAGGTTCTGCTCGCAGAACAAAGCTGAAGCAGCTTGTCAGAACCCCGTCTGCCTCCTCCTCTTGCCTCTCTCCTCCGCCTCCCTCATATCTCTTCCATTCTCTCCCTCTCCTCTCCCTCCTCTGCATCACCGTGGAGTCTCCCGCGGTAGTCGAAGGAGATCTGCTCTCCAGGCTCGATGTTCCTGCTCAAGAATGAGAAGAAAGAAGACAGCCAAGACCGAAGAAGCGCCGGACTGATGATCATAGTGGTGATGATGATGAGGACTGGGGGGGGGGGAAGAGGTTTGATCCACCTGTTGGCTATGAAGACCACCATTGGAGCACACTTGGCGACGATATGCTCTGAGAGATCAGTTAGAGAGCAGGAGAACAGAGAACGAGGAAGGAGGAGGGGAAGGAAGGAGGGGAAGGAGGAGGGGAAGGAGGAGAGAGAGGAGGGAGGGAGGAGAGCGGAAGGGGAGAAAGAGAGAGGCAGAAGAGGAGAGGGAGGAGGGAGGGGAGAGAAGGGAGGAAAGGGAGAGTCACCAGGAGTAGTGTTGGGGGAATCGCTATGGTTGATGTAAGCTCCTGCAGGAGAGGTGAGGAGAGATAGAGGAAAAGGTGCAGCGAAACCCCTGGAGCGAT